TTGGATAAGTTACCAGCAGTGTCTGCCGCAGCAATTTTTCAAATTTAAATATTATATAGGACAAATAAACTATATCTTTGAGCTATATCAGTTCTGCAGGTTTTCTGGGTACATGAACATGGAGGTAAGGAGAACAGACACGAGAGGACTTCAATAGTCCAGATAAGAAATGATGAAAGTCTGGATAACAGTGTAAGTTCAAAGGGTGGAAGAGCTGTTTGGAGTTGGGGAAATCAGCTTTATTACTGGTTTTAGATGATAACCCTTTTCTTTATGTCCCCTTCCAAGTGTAGAAAGCTCTACCTAGTGTCCACTTTGACACTTCTGTCACTCCATATCTTTATCTCCCTCTCTGCCCAATAGGAAGTTGAGGTATTTCTCTGATCAATATGTGTGGGAAGAATATCTTATGTTCATTTCAGGTCCACCATTCTCTCCTGGAGGCAAAGTTGCCTAACTTGTTTGAGCCTCTCTTGCTTCATCTTTAAATAATAATAGGATTTGGGGTAGTGTGGTTCATATACAAGCTCAAAATAATGTTTTCCCCCAAATATAAAAATTACTAACTCATAAACTATTCTTGCATTTGTATTGCTTGCAGCTGACAAGCCTCTTGACTAGTGCATTAAACAGTGTAAGTTCAAAGGGTGGAAGAGCTGTTTGGAGTTGGGGGAAATCAGCTTTATTACTGGTTTTAGATGATAACCCTATTCTTTATGTCCCCTTCCAAGTGAAGAAAACTCTACCAAGTGTCCACTTTGACACTTCTGTCACTCCATATCTTTATCTCCCTCTGCCCAATGGGAAGTTGAAGGATTTCTCTGATCAATATGTGTGGGAAGAATATCGTGTGTTCATTTCAGGTCCGCCATTCTCTCCTGGAGGCAAAGCTGCCTAACTTGTTTGAGCCTCTCTTGCTTCATCTTTAAATAATAATAGGATTTGGGTTAGTGTGGTTCACATACAAGCTCAAAATAATGTTTTCCCCCAAATATAAAAATTACTAACTCATAAACTATTCTTGCATTTGTATTGCTTGCAACTGACAAGCCTCTTGACTAGTGCATTAAGTTTTTCTCCCCCGGTATAGACATTCTTTTCTGAAGGCATTTAAGAAACATAAATAATGAATGCGTCTTTGGATTCATTATG